CACAATATTAATGTTTCTCTCACACACAGAATATCCTTTATAAATTTATCTAATAAGTAATCCAAACCAGAGATGGATTTAGGCCAATTGGGGCCTGAAGCAGTAGACTAGCATTTGGGCCACCCTCCTAATAAATACAAGTGCATAGAATGCATACAAATTTCGTCCCCCCCCCCCCAGATTGTTGCACCTTCTGCCCCACCCATAATTATTTTAATATGGCTCTAATTCAAACAACAGAATATCACTTCTGTCTCAAACACTTTATTAATTAATACATGGGATTTCAAAGCGGAAGAACAAATACCTATATTATAGCACTTATTAATACGTTATTTATACACAAGTCTTTACCAATTTATGGGAAAACGGTCCCATTCTTCACAAAGTAATTTAAAACATGCGAAACAAATAAGCGTAACCATAGTTTCATTAACGTTTGAGCACTGAGAGTATAATAAAACCAATTTTGTAACACGTGCACATGCTACCTTTCCCTCATCAAATATAAACACACGTTTATATATGCATGTGTGTATATAATAACACTCGTAAGATAAAACTCGGTGAAAACCAATGTTACAAACTTTGAAAGTGAAACTAAAAAAAAAGGTTAATCCACAGGTTAAAGGGAATAAATTTATCATGATGTGCCGCGCAAAACCTCTTCCTCTGGTATTGGTGTGGATTTTGTTTTTTAAACGGTATATTAATTTTAATTCAGGTGATCACACACATAATAATAGCCCATGCGTATAAGGGCCATGGGTAACGTACCTAAATTTGGAAATTGAACAAGTCCATAACGGTCCCATGTGCGACTGCGCCACACTATGTCCCACAATCTGACGTTTCTGGAAATAACCGCGCCAAACCGTAGCTCTGCGCTAGACATCAAACTTCAAGCATGCATTAGAGATGAATGTTGTAAGAAATTTTGACTATCAAAGATTACAGTATTGCCTTTATTAATGTCTTAACATAAATAGTAAAATAAGTAGCATACAGAATCAGTCTTTGAAATAAAACGGTTACTTTGAGGTCAAACCTAAAATTATAGAAGATTAATTTAGAACTAATAATAATAAGGCCGCCATTTTGCGTCTGCGCAGATGTAATAGATAAATTAATTACACATTCAGTGATATTGAAATTGAAAGACTTTAGAGTGCTTTTAAAGTGGTCTTTAAATGATCAAAGTTGATGTTATTGAGTCCTTTTAGAATTTCATTCCATAACTCACCGTAAAAAAGCTATGACAAAGACAAAGAATATGCGCACCATACACACACAATGGTAAAGCCAATGGAGGAAACGACCTTGCGTTAGGAAGTAGAACTATAGTATAATTTGTTGTCATATACCAGTGCCACCTGCTATAATAAATTGTGATAAGACGTATTTAAACAAAGTTAAGAGATAGTTTAATGTTCAATTTTAAAATTGAATTGTGCAATTGAAATAAAGGATAGTTTTAAAAAGCTTGTATACGATAAAAAAATCAAGTAAAATTAGTTTGCTAGAAAACTTGGATAATTTTCGCTGATAGTGATAGAATAATCTAGTATAACAATGACATCCAAAAAATTTCCAAACCAAAATTTTAACCTTTTACTTCTTTTTAAAATTAGCCTAACTTCAGCTATAATGTAACTTGACAGTTGGTTTGTCTGCTGGATGTAATGTATGTATCGGCGCTATACGTGTATATTACTGATTTTGTAGGCCTTACGATAGGTAATAACAAGGACTAGTAAGATATTAGAAAATGGTGTCAAAATGTAGGAAATAACTTGTGACTTAGAGATTGAAAGAGATGTAACTTTTCTTACATTACACAAAACTGTTTTTCGTTCTCATTGTCAACAGAGTTAATTACCCGATACTGGAGTTCCAGAAATACTATCTACATTAATTAACAGCAATTTTGATTTTGGTATGGTTTTCATAGTCGTATTTTAATCTTTTCGTTTTATTTAAATACAGATGTGAAGTTTTCGGGTGCACTGAGTTACCTTTCAGATAATGTCTGTAAATCATAAGACGAAATATATCACTGAGTAAATTTGAATTATGAGTTTAAAGCAAGCAAGAAAGAGACTGACACAACGTAAACAAAATGAGAACAACCTTTACTGACAAAACAAAGTGGTGAGCGCATTGAGGGTTAAGAGTTATTAACCAATTTGTTATTGTGAAAATTGTTGAACCTGGCTCAGAGTAAAAGAGGATAACATTAGATACATAGATTCTATAATTCTATCCATCTCGGTCATTTCAGTAGCAAATAAGGAGGACTATCCATACTTACACAGTATATTCTAATTTACAGTAGTCTTTTTCTATGGGAAAGCACACGTGACGCCATATGGGAATGATCCAGAACAATAAATAACTAGTGAACAGAACTTTACCACATTCATTGACCAATGTCCCAATTCTAATTAAAACTACACAAACAGCTAGAAACGTGTATGAGTAAAAAATGTTGAAGTTTCTTGGTGAACATTAACATTATAGAATTAAAGAAGACTGAAGACACAATATTATCTTCAAGCCACATTGATAATCTAATATTTTTCATGATGTAGGTGAGATTTATGGTTATTTCTTTATAGTTTTGGTGGAACTTGTTTGTTTGTTTTGAATTTCGCGCAAAGCGACACGAGGGCTATCAGCGCTAGCCATCCCTAATTTAGCAGTGTAAGACTAGAGAGAAGGCAGCTAGTCATCTCCCCCACCACCAACTCTTGGGCTACTCTTTTACCAACGAATAGTGAGATTGACCATTACATTATAATGCCCCCATGGCTGAAAGGGCGAGCATGTTTGGTGTGACGGGAATTCGAACCCGCAGATTGCGAGTTAAGCGCCCTAACCACCTGGCCATGCTGGGCCCTTGATGGAATTTATTGCACAGTACTGGAATTGAACTTGGCTTTTTTATACAGTTTTATATTTCTCATATAAGATTTTATTTGTTGTTATTGTGATGTACTTCATGTATCGGGTTTTTCTTTTCCTCTTACTTCAAACATTCGAATAGCTAGTGTTTTGGGCTAAACTGCAGATTGGTGTCCAGAATAAGTAATAACCTTACCTATATCAAATCATTTCAGAATAGGACAGAATTAAAGTAATAAGGTTGAAGTTTGGTGCCATGAGCATGGGATTTCAGTTTGTGGAGTTTTAGGTTTTTTTTTTTACCAGTATTCTTTTATATGCTTCTTTTATACTTTCGTGGAACAAAATTCTTGAATTTCAGTAAGAAAAGGCAACTTCTAGATCAAGAACTTCTTAGCAAGATTAGAATTGAATTTTCAAAAAAGAAAAAAAAGACTATAAAATGAGAATGTAGCATGCTTTGGGAGAAATCTGCTGCTGGGTAAAGAAGGTCTTTGGCCACTACTGTAAAGGGACATTTCCACAATTTTGAACTGGTTGCAATTTCATGCAGGAGAATCACAACTAGGAACTTCCAGAACTGCTAACTCTGAACTTCACCAGGTATGAAGCATAGACAACTGAGAGTCACTACAGTGACTTGTGGTATGTAGTAGACGTCGCTGTTGGTCATTATCACTTATTAACAGAAGATTGGAGATGCTGCTGAAGAATTGAGTCAACAGCTAAAGATGTTTCACTGACAAAAAAGACAGCAAGTACTGAATGAATGAGAAGGTGACTTGTGGAACAGATGTGAACCTTTCCAACAGAAAAGATGAGTGGCTAGAACCACAAAGGGGGTTTATTAAAGCTTGGAACCAAGTAGAGCTGGAAGATGAGTTTGCTATGGTACCTCATTGCTCTGACAACCAAGAATTGGGACTGTGTCTTGTCCATGTGTTAGCTGAGATGCCACTGGATGTTCTATTTTTACAATTACAGGCCATTGGCAACAAAGTGAAGCAGATAACTCAGTCACATAACTGCCTGGAATGGATGGACTCAAGAACACGCGATTCAATGCATTATGCTAAATCTGTTTAGACCAGCACGTCACTCAACTGAACATTTGGATGAGAGCAGATCATATGGGTCACCATTAGAATTGAGTTGCATTGATGTCTCAATTTTGTAGGATGGTGAGCAATATAGTGTATTAGGCCAAGTTTAAAACTCAAAAGAGAGGACCCATAAAACCTGCCATTTTTGTGGATGAGTTGAATCATCTGTATGAGGAATCATATCTTGCCTTACAAATACAGATTACGAGGACATTTTCGTACATAAGTTCATTGAGGGTCTCTCAAGTTAAACAATGCAACACCGTATGGATATTAAACGATACTTATGCCCTAAAAGAGTGTTTCTATGGTAACTAAGTTTTAAGTGATAACATTGAGTCATTTCAGGAGAGGGAGAAGTTCACAGTGTCCCTTACTTGGCCAAAATAACCTCTAATGGTGTCCACGTTTCTGAAAGCTACCATACACTGTAGAGCTCTTTTGCCACAAGCATTTCTTTTTGTCTTCATACACCCACACTGGATACCAGTGAATTGCTGGGGCTTTTAGTGGCCCCCATGACAGTTGTGTCACAGAAGCAGCAAGCATAACCTCAGCATTGCTAGCCTAATAGAAGGAATGAAATGTCTATTTTTTGTGGATTGGTGATGCAATCCAAGCAAAATTTCCTGTACCTCATTCAAAAAGAAAAACACACACAAGAGGGATGTGCATTTTTTTTCTTCTCAATTCTAAAGCAAACGCAGGAGGGATATAGATAAACCATGTCTACAACTAGTAAATTAGCAGACCAAAGTACAGGTTTGGCTACTAATTCTCGTGCATAATAGTCAGCTCATGTTTTAAACTGTGGTCAACTCAGCTTACATAGGGCTGGATGGAGCTTTGTATGTTCCGGTCAAAGTGCACAGAAGTGAGATTGAGTTTCGTATTGATGCCAGAACCCTACAGTGTATCAGGCACTCTAATTTCGTATTGATGCCAGAACCCTGCAGTGTATTAGGCACTCTGAAGCAACCACTTCAGCCGGACAATAGAAATTTCTTTCTAGTTAATAAGTGAAAAGGCATATCTCTGGCTTTATCATGGTTCTGTTACTTGCAGAACAAAAAATAGTTTTCTCCAGTTTTAGTACAGACACTGGCATGTTAGGGATTGGTCTGCAACAGAAATTGTCAGACAGTGTTGCAACAGATGAATTTTAGTTCTTCAGGAAAATCACATAATGCTGACGAGATTAGGACTGGGAACAATGGTTTGCATGAATATACGTTGAGGAGGAAGTCACGGTGCCTCCAAATGTACACAGCGTGGTCACAAGTAAATAGACACCTAATTTTTCGTCATTTAACTGATTTATGCTAACTAATTTGTGTTCACAGAGCACTATATAAATGAA